TTGGTTTGCCTAGCCTTCAACATTTTCCCGAGACCCTAGTCCATTGGGAAATACTAATACGAATACGAATACTAAAACTAATACGAATACTAACTAATCCTAATACTAATACTAATACTAATCTGAATACGAATCTGAATACGAATATGAATACGAATACCGAATACGAATACTAATACGAATACTAATACTAGTACTAATACTATTACCATTAGGATTTACGGCGGACCCCTCAAACAATTTCAATTCAGGATCCAAAAATTGGGGGGGGGGGTACTACCCACTAAAGCGAGTCCAACATTACGTGGTTGAACCTGCAATCCTTCCACAGTAATACTTGACGATGAACGGCTGCAAACGATACCTCAAGTAGCTGCAGTATGCCAGTATGCCAAGCCGCTTATTTCCAAACCCATGTGTCGCGCCAACTCGCGCGTGTGCCGCACCTCCGGCTTGACAGTGACCTGGCAGCAGGAAAGGCCACACGTGTTCCTGAAATGACTCGCATCCCTGACCAGATACCTGGTCAATTTATCAGCCTACCAGCCCACGTGGCCTCTTCTGCAAAACAGAAGGAAGAATACCAGATCGCGAACTCTTGCACGGTCATTGAACTGCCTGGGTTGCGCAAAGCTCCGGTCCAAGAGTTACAACGGAGCATTCAAACATAAGAACATATAAGAACGCGTGACAACTATCCCTTTGCTGACCTGTCATGCAGATTTCCTTAAATCTGGCCCCATGAAGCTGCGAAGGGCCCGGCAGTGAATCTTTCAATGGCTTTCATGCTGGGGGGCATGGCGATACAAGGCCCTTTCGAAGGCTGAGAGTACCACGGTGCTCTTTTGCTCAATCTGCAGGCTTTTCCATCCAGGCAGTGATTGAGGACACCCTCGAACAATGTTATGGAGGGGCGCTGTGGCGGTACAGTATCAATGCATTTTTACCAGGCTAGGGAGGTCTTGAAGTGGCCCTGAAGCTCAGCGCACCTCATAGCGTAGAAACAGTCGGAACAGCTTCCAATCTGCCAGTAAGTCGCCAGAGTCTCTGTCAGCAGCCTTCAAGGCCCAGTCCACAAACGCCTGCGCATGTGATTCAGGCCAAGATGGTACTTAAGTGCGCTTCTCAGACCATGGAAGGCTGGCAGGTTGCATGGAAAGGGGCCATCCACCTCACGCTTGCTGGCGGCAAGATTTATCTATTTTTTTGTCTGGTCTTTTTTGTTGTCTGTGCTTTTCGGATGTTTTGTTTGCTGTTTGGGCGGGGGGCGGGGGGCCGCCCGAACAGAACAAAAATAAACAACGGCAAGATCTGAATCTCAGCAAAAAACATAATCCTTTCCAAACAGCGGGGGGCGTGTTTTTTTCTTTGCTGTTTGGGCGTGTGTTTTTTACTGTTTGGGCGGGAGTGCGGATTTATTTTTTGCTGTCTGGGCGGGCCTGGGAAAGGGCGTGCTTTTTTTGCTGTTTGGGCGGGTGTGTGTGTGTGTGTGTTTTTTTTTGTTTTGCTGTTTTGCGGGGGGCGTGTGTAATTTTGTTTCTGTTTGGGCGGGGGCGTGTTTTTTTTTGCTGTTTAGGCGGAGTTTTTTTTTTGCTGTTTGGGCGGGGGAGCGTGTGTAATTTTGTTTCTGTTTGGGCGCGGGCGTGCTTTTTTTTTTTTGCTGTTTGGGGCGGGGGATGGGAGTTCACTCACTTACCGGTCT